TAACAAATCAAATCACAAATAAATTTTATTTTTTATTTGGTCAACAAACCAAATCACAAATCAAATATATTTGTAAATTAAAGGCGCATTTTGAATCAAAACAGATTTGAAATCATGCAACCCTGCTTTGGACTGAGTAAGCACTTGAGGAGTAAAGTCATCTCCCGTCGTACGAAAACCACACTCTATAAGTCACCCATCATGCCCGTGCTGGTATATGGTTCATAAGCTTGGACGAATGAGGCGGTACTCAAATGGAACAGAAGAGAAGGACTGACGTGCTATGTTGGACCCAGTTAAAATCGCCTAGGCGGTTATTGCGCCAGACAAGAAGAAGAAGTTCCTATATTTAAATAGGTTTATTTTGTAAATTTCAACTATAACAGCCCCACAAGCAATTCCTTTATTAGTGTGAATTACACCCAGCATCATGCCATCAGCTGTATTTATTATTAGCAAATAGTTACTAGTAAAATTTTATCCAGTAACAATTCAGTAGATCTTATAAGTTTAGCTGCCATTTTCGCTCTCTCAATTTCCCCTACTTTGTTATTTTCTAGTAAAAATTCCAGTAAAATTGTTACATACTAGTTTTTACTGGGCAATGTCTAAAATAACATACAGGTTTTTGAGATACTTAGCCGGGTTGGGTACTTAAATGAACCCGCTTAAGTACCCGCATCGAGGTAACTGTTGATGTAGTTACATCTTCTTGTTAACTTACATAAATAAATACTTGAATAAAACATGAACAGTTAATGAAGTACATATACGTAGTTTAATACCAATTATTTAAACACATAAAGAAAAACTTTATTTAAAAAAATAGATAAAGCAAAGTTATGTAATTTTTATTCTTTAAAAAGTCATTGATTATACATATTTTTACATAAATACAGTGTTGAAGATATCTTTTTGGACTAAATTCGAAATGATATTGTTTGCCGCTTGTGTTTATTTATTAATTTATTTTTAAATTAAAATACCGTTCATTCCAATACAGTCAATACCATATAAACCTAAGCTTAAAACTTTGTAGAACACTGAAAATTCATCAAATTGTCATCAAAATTTAAAATTTTTTTCGCAGAAGTGTTTATACCCCATTCAAATTTAGTGTAACAAGTTTCAAGTGGCTAAAAATTACCGTTATTTTTTTAAATTTGTTTGCCGAAGGTGTTGCGGTTTTCTACATATAAAAATAAATTGTGTTTATTCGTTATATGTAAACAAATGCGATAAAAGAAATTCTAGCATGTTATAGGATGCATTTAGGCGCCCGTTGTTAGCAGTCGCGCCTAAACACTGACGGTAGCAATTAATATGTGTAGCGCTGCCACTGAATTTCAAAAAATGTAAATGTTTAAAGAAATTTTAAAAGAGCACTTAAAAGGGGAAAATTATAAGTAAAATGATCAATGCGGTACGAAAAATTTAGGTAAAATAGGCGTATTTTTTTTACACGCATGCGTATCTGCGCTTAAAAATTGTATGGAGCTCTAAGCGACAAACTTTATGTGCGCTTATAAATAGTTGTCGATGAAATCAAAATTAATTGTTTTGAAATAGAAATTTTCGATGATTGTTTTTTTTACACGTTAAGCGTAGATGTATATGCGGGTAAAAAAAAAAACACAGCTAATGTTTGTTAGTTAAGCGGGTTAGGTACTTAAGCGGGTTTCACTGTACGTTGAAGTGCATCATTAGATTTCCTACCCATAAAAAGTACAGGAAATGTATATGTACTATCTACTACTTGTCAAATGCATGCAAAGCAATGCATTTTTGCTACGATCCTTTATCAATTATTGACCTCACCCGATTCAAGGTATATTTAATACAGCTCATCTCTGACAATCAACATAGGCCAAACTAGTTTAAACTGGAAAGAACATTAATATCAGGATCATCTAGTTCAGCCTAGACTTAACCGGTTTGTTCAAACCGGCTTCGGTAAGACCAGTTTACCCTAGGCTATAGTGGTATATCCTATCGAATGTTGGTAGAACTAGTTTGGCCTAGGCAAAACTAGTTTAGCTTAGCCGTAAGATCGGGTTTGGCCGGTAACATTTACATGAAAGAAGCTAACACGTATAAGAGGAATTTTCTTTTTATTTTTTTCTTCGAAGATACGATCTCTAAAATTTTGAAATTTGTTGTTATTCTGACCATTCAAGTATCTACGTCTTCAAACCATTATATCTCGGGTTCTACTCTCCTTAGCGTAGTTTTAAAGCTAAAGAAACGAGTTTAACATTTCTATATATAAGATGGTCCTGATTGTCCTAAAGCTAACTTAGCTACTAACTTTTTGAAGTTGATTTGCATAGTGAAGACCAGTAAATTAGGGATTTAAAATTACACAATGGCAATCTTTTTTAATTCTCTGTAAAAAGCATGTCAAAAAAATTGGTGTTATTCAAGAACTATTTATTTTAAAATATTTTTTTTTTTCATGACGATATCGTTCGTTTTGTGAGTCAAGAATTTTTTTTTGTTGTGGATTTCGGCAGAATATCTATATTGGGGAACAAGTGTTGTTAACGAAGGGATATTCTGCCGAAATCCGCGTTTTGCTAACTTTAGTCCTACAATTGCCACGCCCATTTATAGAGGTTTGTCGCCTTAAAAAAAAAGGCGTGAGTACTAGGTACTCATGAAATTTGATGTGTATACATATGCGAACGGCAAAGCATAAAAGTACGTTTACATATAAATATAATCTCAATCAAAGCTCGGTAGCTGTCAAATTGGTTGTGCTTGTTATTCACATAACTCGAGGAAAAGTTAAACTTCTTCTCTGTGCCACCGTGGTCACTTTTTTTTGCAGCACATATTAGGCCATTTAAATATATTTGTAACTGAATATTTTATTAAAAATACCTTTACAAACCTATTTTTCTTACTAGCGTCAATTTTTGTTTACTTTAATATTTGACATTCCTCCTCTTCTTCGCAAGTGTAATCGATAAAACTAAGTTGGACACCAAAAAGTTATCGGTTTAATCTGTGATATTTTTAATTATAATTTTGCATGGCTACTCTCTTTTTCTAATAACAGATTAGGGAGTTAAGCTTGAAAATTAGGATAATCTTTTTATATGTAAAGGTATTATTAAGCGATTCAGTTACATACATACAAATGTAGGTTAGGTTAGAAATTAAATATTAATTTCACTCAATTTTATTCATTTTTCTGATGTAATTTTTTTATTCATTTTCATTTTTAATTATTTTAATACATGAAATTATCGGTATGATTGATAAAATATTATTGTATATACTTGTGACTCAAGGGCGTTAAAATATCTTGGAAACGCCGCATCAGTTATTGTTTTTTCAGTTTGGTTTTCAAACTATAAGTTGAGCATTTCTATTTGTATATATTCCTAAATTTACCAAAATTGACTACTAAACCTATGCCTAAAACCATCTACGAATATCAAAACCAGGGCATGAATCACGTATGACGACATTCGTCTGAACGATATCGTGTCGAGATTGTCTTGCTTCATAAACATCAAAAATTGTTTGATCGTTTGTGCGATATCGTCAACTCGATTCCAGTTTTGCTTCACGCAACAGTAACTGTAGCCGTCATCGATTCGCCAACAGTTAGCGAGTGGCGAAACGAACGAATACAATGAGGTACAACCAAACTCGCTATCGTCTATCCGTGCTAACTAACTTTGTTGTTGCTTTCACATGCAAAATTTTTCGTTAAGCGACCGGAACTCAAACATAGCAAGCAGCGAAGTGGCGAATCGATGACGGCTATTAACAAGTAAACGGAACACAAATGCATAACAGGCTAACCTAATATTCACGCACGCCGCCAATTTATTGTCAAAAATTTCTCATGCACATGCAACTTGTATGAGATCAACCGAAATTGAACGGCGTGCGTATGAAGCTAACTCAATTTCCAATTTTTGTTCTGCGTGACATTTTGATTTGACGTTTCGCTCAATGAAATCAAATGCAAACGCATGCAAGTCAATTTCGGGTGACGCAAAAAAACAAATTCGACGGCATGCGTACCAAAACGCAAGCCGTGAATATTAGGTTAGCCTGTTAATTAGTGTTTTGACAACATCATTTTGTCAGTATCGTTTGAACGACTATCGTTTCAAAGTTACGTGATTCATGCCCAGTTGCAACAAATGAGTCCATACATATTTATGTACATACATAGGTACAAGCCGTATGCATGTGCGGAGTTTAAATAATCGGAAGTAATAATCAATTGAAGCGCATTTCCTCTTACTATGCATATGCTTCTAATGAAAATAAAAATTTTATGCTGAAATACACATGCTAAGCCCTTCGAAATTTTGTGCTGGGATATGCGTTACAGCTTCGCAAATTTTACCCCTACCGAAACCAAAGATGTATACACATCAAAAAATCTTGCCGTACAAATATTATTCTAGATAGGTCTTCTATTGGAATCCGCAATAAAATTTAAATTTTTGCGAAAACCCGATTTTTAACACCTTGCTAAATATATCTTATCACATATTTTTGAAAACAAATTACATCTCGCCATAAGAAATATTCTAAAAACAGTTCTTGAAAAACGCCATTTTTTTAATTTTTTTTTAAAGAGAATTGAATAAGGATTACGATGGTGTAATTTTAAATCCCTAATTTTCTGGACTTCACTACTTCAACTTCAAAAAGTTCAACTGTTAATAGCTAAGTTAGCTTTAAAACTCATGACCATCTTATATATACATATTTTAAGCTTAAGAAGTAAGCTTTAAAAGGACGTTAAGATGAAGTCTCTACGATGAGCAGAAACCGAGATGTAACGGTTTGAAGAAGTACTACATGGTTCGTCAGAATAACGAAAACATCCAAACTTTGATAGGTCATATCTCCGAAGAAAAAAGAGAAAAAAATAATTCCTTGAATACGTGTAAGCTGGTTTTATGTATTGAACCCATACACAAAATTTGAAGAGAATCGAAAGTGTGACACCAATTTTGATGTCCGATATGAAGGAGAATGCCTCATATACATTCGTATGTGCATACTAACGATCTTTCTTTTATAAATTTGCCTCTACGCAAATAATGCTATTTATATATATTCAACTACAAAATTTAAAAGAAATTAATCTCAAATAGGTGTATAAAACAAGTTACCCGATCTACTCGTCGTATACAATTCCTAAACGTATATACACTGGATCGCAGATTGTTACTTCGCCTGTTCGAGTTTTAACCTCCCCAGCCCGCATTACTACACGAGTTGTACACTCGCCATCGCCAGTTCGTGTAATCCGCACAAATACTCGGGTGATATCTTCGCCGGAGCGACCGTTAACATACTCCTATAGAACATCAAACTTCACGAACTCGTCATATCTTCCGATAGCTACCTACAGCTCGTACACCCTACCCACCTTTGTGTACTCCACTCCAACCTATTGTTCACCCATAACTCGAACATACTCACGCTCCCTGAGCCCTTCGATTAGGATAACTACCTCACCAGTGCGTTCAACGGCGTCCTATCTGAAGAGAACTCTATCAGGGTATGGTGCCCGAGCTCTAACTAATTATCTCAACACAGAGCCATTTGCCGTAAGTAAATCTTTTTCAACTCATCTTATTTAACCACATAAGTGATGTATCTAATTCTACAAAAAAGTCTATTACATATTTTTTTCGCAATAAGTGCAATAAATAAAGCTATCAGCTTGGTTACTTAAAGCTACATATGTATGTATATAGTATATTCTATTTAGAAGTTGGGTGTAGGATTCGATTTTCTTGGTTGATACTTTTGAGGTAAAAAAGCAATGTCATACTCAGTGATGCCAGAAGTTGGAAAAATTCCTTACATGTACGAATTTTCGGTTTAACATTTTGTGTGTAGGGAAAAAAGGACAGATTTATTATATTACGCTAAATAAAGGGAATTTTTGATAAAAAGTAAATTTGTAGAAAAACTTTTAATTTGAATAAAACATGCAAATAATTGCTAAATACGTCTTAAGGCTGGTTTTCATTTGGTGTCAAATGCGTTTTCATTACATTTTAAAAATTGGCCAAATGTCGATACCGTAGTGCCTGTCAAAAACTGCCGTCAAATTTTGGTGTCAGATGATTGATATTCCGTTTTCATTACTGATGTCAAATGTAAAGTTAAATTTTTACAAAAGGTGTAAAATACCGATCTTTTAACTATAGGCAAACCAAAAATGTAACTGGGTAGAACACTTCATGCTGATTTCAACCTTACCAAAATTATTAAGCGCAAGTAAAAAAGTAAGAAGATATTGGAGGTTAAGTTAAATTTTGAAATATCAATATCTTATGAACTACATAACCAATTAAACCACTAATTATATCAAAATAAAGATGAATAGTTTATCTTTCAGCTGATGTACATAATTTTTCTGATTTTTTTTTTATATTTTTAAGTCAAAAATACTAAAACACAAAAAAAAAAATTTCATAAAATTACCTTTTTTGAAGAAAATTGCATAATTACAATACAGAAATTTATATTATTTAGAAAGTAAAAGTTATTATCTTATATAGAAAGGTTTTTTAAAGCATAGTTCACTCAAAATCGGTACGCATGAAATATAATGTAATAAAGGGAAAACATTCCGTTATAGATACATGTTAGCGAAAGATTTGTATTTTGCTTGGATAAATAAATAAGAGACAATTTCTTTGATAATGATAAAATTTTTCTGAACACCCGTTCTAGAGACCTGTGTAGTCAACTTGCTCTACTAGACTATCTTTAGTTTATGTTTTTCCACAGCTCGCACATCTCTACTAATTCTGTTTTAAATAAATACCATGTATTTTTCGATTTTACTTAAATAGGTCATATTCGTAAATTGATGACTTCCAGAACTTTATTCACATCATTGGCTTCAAACCGATTTAAAATTACCTGTGGATAATTAATTTCCATTAAAACCAACCAAAACTTTACTGAAGGTCTAAAATAAATGATACAATGGCTTAACACTTTGTGCAAGCACTCCTTCCAGCATATTTCTGGGGTCATATGACCCATTGTGGAGTCTGATCGAGTTTTAATGAGACTGCCTCGATTCTCTTGTGATTTCATAGCGCTTTGACAACTGTGTCAACTTTTATAAATTTAGTTTTAAAGAGGTTATCACCCTGTTTCTTTTTAGCTTAAAACTTTTAACGTGGGAGTTGACCGAAGTCCAGTCTTAAACATGTTTTATTAATCATTATTATAAAATACCACATTTGGTGTGAACATTGGGGTAAAGTAAACGGGTGCGGTTTTTGTTATAAAATGTATTTACTCTAACAGAATTTTATATATTATAACTCGATAAGGTTTCAGTCTTGCCATAGCTTGAATTCGCTGAGCTGTGGATAATCGCTTTCCAATTCCTTCGCGCGATTTTCTTCGGATAACCCGTTTTTTTCCTAATTGAGGTAAAGAGCCGTATCCTTAAGCCGGTGCGAAATGATGTTTTTTAATGATTAGCTTACCCCGTTAGTTTAAGCAGAAGGAATCTATTCATTGATTTTTGGACGATAATTATAAGTTTTTGGTATATTTAACAGGGTTCGTATTTGCACACACATGCTCTGCTCACACACACGCCAGAAAAACATTCAACTTGCACTCACTGCTCATACACATGTGTGTGCATAAGTGGAAAATAAACTCTACTCACAGAAAAGTGTGTGCTGTTTGTTATTAAGCACATGCACATGTGTGTGAGCCGATTTTTGTACAAATTTCAGCCCATGCACATGCACATAATATATTCTTAAAAGAATTTGTTTATAAACGTTATTTTTTGAAAGACAATTCAATAAAAAGTGAGTTGTTGTTTGTTTTTTATATGACAGAAAACATATTAAAAAATTGTTTTAAGATTTGAGTTAGAATTCGAAGTGTATAAGTTTCTCTACGCATAGCACACACATGTGCGTGTGCTTTACATTAATAAAAAGAAAGTACACACATGTGTCCGTGCTTTTTACCAAACGGCACACACATGTGATGTGAGCAAATTTTTAATTTTTTACACACAGCACACGTGTGTGAGCGTAAAATGTTAGGATGTGCTGCACATGTGTGTGCAAATACGAACCCTGATATTTAATTTTAAATTGATTTTTGATCTCGAAAAAGTCGGATTTTCAATGAATTTGTTTAACATTATTTTTTGAGCAGCAACTTTCAATGCGAATAAAACTGTCAAATAAAAAGCCAGTACTATGAAATTGAAATCTCATAATGGTAGATCAATTGTCTAACGATCGGCATTGCAACTTTTTAATACATTCCAACAGTTGCTGTACAGAAATTGCTGGAACGCGTACCGACGATGAACGATGCTTTCTAAGGCAAAATTTAACGAAAGTAGTGGTAAAAATCGAAATTGTATATACATTTTTTTAAATGGCGTTTACTAAAGTCCGACCGCTTAGAACTAAATGGTCTACAAAACTGCATACCAAAATTCTGATTAAATAGTTTGAAATTTTGGTGAAAATAAGAAGTATTTTTCTAATTTTTGTACAAAGGCTGAAATCTGAATTTACATGATGATTGCTGTATACCAGCTAGACTTTCATAAAAAAATAATAAACATTAAATAAACAAAACTCAAATGCCAAATGCCAAACCGGTCAAAATATCGCAATTCTTTTATTTTGTGGACCACGACATATATATGTATGTGCATTAGGGTGGTCCAAAAACATTAAGTTGGTATTGTAATGCTCTCACCCCCTAGGATTGTTCTATATCGAAAAAAGTATACCCCTATTTTTTTTATTTTTCAACTCAACTGCAATCTTTTATGTGTGTGCATTCTTTAATTCAGTACCAATCATTAGTTCAAAGACACCCTGGTAAACAACTTTTTGATAAAAAGGCAGATTTTTGACAACTGCTCAATTGTAAAAATTCGAAGCGGTGTTACCTAATTTAAGTTTTTTGGTAGAGGGGTTTTATATCATAAATTTGGGATTATATATAAAACAGTTGTATTAACATTTACCGTTTAAAAATAGTTAATATCTTATATTAAAAATGTTTAAATTTTACATTAAATTCGATAAACACTTCGCAAAAACTTTACATTTAGGTTAATAAAATTTTAGTGAACATATTTTAAAAATATTTAGTGTCTTTATGCCATCTCATTATTTCACAATGTAGCTAGCCAGGACTATTACAGTTTTCAATATCGGATACGACTGTTTCTGATATAATTCGAACACTGAAATCACAAATTTGTATGTGTAATTTAAAGCATATTTAGCGGATTCACAATTCGTGTTAGACGTCGTAATGTCATAAAGGCTTAAATTTGTTCAATATAGAGTAACGGTTAAAAGCGATTTGAAACATTCGTCGGGTATAATAAGAGCCAATAATAAATTTCCTACTAGTTTAAAACATTTTGGTTATGTTAAGAAACGCCTAAAGAAGTATAAGTATTAGGTGTTATTTTACGTTTAAAAATTTTAAGACTTTAACATATTACGCCACTTAACACCTCTTGTAAATCTTCCATATGTGCTTGACCATTAAACTTTATCGTTGTTTATTTGGGTAAAATTAAAATATATTTCACTGTTCAATACTGGAGTTGGTGTGAAGTATGCAAATGAGAACAACAAATATCAACTTATTGAGCATTAGCCTCATTTGTTAAAAAAAAAGATATTTTGCTTGGTAAAATTTCGATTCTAAGAATAAAATGTTTTTAAACAAACGAAAAATTAATAATAAAATTTGAAGGATTTTAGATACTGCGTATGGTAGCATAAAATTTTACAATATGCTTAATTGTCAGGTGGTTTCTTGTATCATGAAATCTCATAGCAACTGATTTCACACTTACAGTGGGATAAAGTTAAAACTTCTAATACAAATTAGTTAAATTTAGTTAAGATTTTTTATCAATTTTAATAAATTAATTTAACTAATCTATTCAGAGATCTCTTTAGAAAATTGCCGTACATCCGATATCTATTAAAATTTTTACATCCTCACTTTTTGGAAAAAGAAAGAAGAGTTCAAGATACAAGTTTATTTGCAAAAAATAAATTAAACAATAAAAGTCTCCTAATATATATGCAACATATAATAGAAAAATTTGTATTTCATTACCCAGACTTTATGAATAGCCTACTCTATAAGTAATAGTAGACATTCCGAATTAGTAAGTTCAGTCAAGACGTCATTCAAAAGTTTTGAGGAAAATCACTTTTCTCTTTTGTGAAAATTCGGGACTATCTTATGCGAGTATTGTCGACGAAATGTTAGTCTATGAATGATTAAAAATTAACGAAATGGTTAATCGCGATTTATGATTAAAATTAATTAAGCGATCGCTGTGGTGTAGTGGTTAGAAGTGCGCAGGGTGAGGGCTCGAGGCCAGTTCCGGCCAACATAAAAAAAGAAAATGTTTTTTGTAATAGTAGTCGGCCCCCGGCAGGAGTCGGCGTAAAACTGTAGGTCCCTCCCCTTTTTGCGACAACATCAAGGTGCATGCCACAATCGGAGGAGTAGCTCGGCCAAACACTAATATATGTCGATGGTCCTCTGCAATAAT